CCCCAAAACCCCAAAACCCCAAAACCCCAAAACCCCATTTGATTTCTCCAAATTTGAAAGATTTTTGAATATATTAAATGGTATATTTAGAGGATTTCATGCTTGACTTCGCCAGAAATTTTACAGTAAGTTTCGAGCATTTTAGCTATTAAGGTTTGGCAACCAACAAGATCTTCTCCAAATTTATCTAGATTAGATTTGAAATTGTCCAGAATCCTTTTGAAGTAAGAGTTTAGAGTATAATAATCGTGGATTGCCTTCTTTGATTGAACCTTAGTTCCCTCTAAGAGATTTTGATACTTGTTTAGCTCTTCTGGCTGATCACCAAAGAAGAAATTAAGCACCGCCAAGACTTTTTCTTTCGGGTAGCTGAGCACGATGTGGTAGAAGAACAAATACTTTCTCTCATACGGAGACTCAATATGGTGGAACTTGCACAAGTTATTGATGTAGTTCTTGACCCAGCTGAGGAAGAACTTTGAGAAGACCATGCTCTTTCTTGCTGAAGTGCTTCCGTTCTTTTCTAAGAAGTAATTTGACTCTTTCTTAGTCCTTCTAAAGAGTCTGTTAATAATTTGTAAAAGATGGGATTTAGTTTGGCAGATTTTGCGGAAATTTTACCTAAAAAGACTTGTCATTATAATGAGTCTGGCCTTCCGTGCATGTTTTTGATGAATACTTCTATAAGAAAGCATTTAGAAGGCTTCATTAATAGATCAGCTTACTTATCATCGGCTTCAGGCTTTCTTTATAAAGCTTCAAAAGAGTCTCTTCGTCGTTTGGGTATTTGTTTTCTGGCCTTCCTTGAGACCTTTCAGGGGTCTGATTATCGAATGTATCTTCGCCATTAATGCAGGCCTTATGGAGGAGCTCAAGTGCTTGCTCTCTTGTCATGTCAAATTTTCCTAGGGCAGGCATGTCTGGTGCAGATGTGGTTGATACTTCTTTTCTAGTCATATCAGGCACATCCTGCCTCTTCATGTCAGTTACTTCTTCTTTAAACATAGTGGTTATTAACTCACCTTGAGGCTTAGCAGGCTCAGTAAGTTTCGCCAGAGAAGAGCCTTTTTCCTCTTCATTGATTCTGTCACTGTTTGAATCATCATGAAAATCTGCACAATTTTCATCTTTTTGAGCATTCTGTATTATTTCTTCCTTTGCTGTTTCTGAAAAGAAAATTTCCTTTCCAGGCCCAGATTCTTCCAAATATAGCGAATTATCTCTAGTCTTTTTAGAACTCAAAAGAGGTTGATGAATGACATAGACTCTATCTGCCTCATCCTTGGGGCTCCCGAATCTACAAGGATCTTCATCAATACTTGGGTGTTTCTGAGACTCTTCAAAGAGCATCTCACTAAACAATGGGTCATTTAGATATTCATCCTTTTGAAATTCCCAGTTAGGAATGTCATTGTTGAGCACAAGTTTATCCATATCATCGATAGCAGCATTCATTGAAGCCTCCTCTACTTCTTCCATTCGAGCATCGACCCAAAAATCATTGCTGATGGATTCAGAACGTTCCTGACAAATTTCATGGAGAGGTGAACTATCTTCAAATTTTTCAAATTTAAAGTTCATTAAGCCTAGATAATTATAATCTTCAATGGGATCTTTATATGCAGGGGTTTTGGGGTTTTGGGGTTTTGGGGTTTTGGGGTTTTGGGG